ATAGACGTACACACTCCTCTAGTAACCAGATCAGGAACTGTGTTGGAGCAAAAAGACGATTTCAAATATCTTGGCTCCTGGGTTGATAAGTCGATAAAAGACGTCAATATCAGAAAAGCACTAGCCTGGAAAGCCCTCAACGACATGACCAACATCTGGAAGTCCACTATGAACCCAGTTTTGAAAAAACGATTCTTTGTTGCCACAGTCGAGTCAATCTTGCTGTATGGATGTGAAAGCTGGTCCATGACGGAGTCTATGGTGAAATCACTCAGTGGTGCCTATACCCGTATGCTGAGGAAAGCCCTGAATGTGCACTGGAGCTCCCGCACTACTAATGATGAAGTGTACGGAGAGTTACCAAGGCTGGATGTGAAGATTGCTGAGCGCAGACTACGTCTGGCAGGACACTGCTACCGCCACCCTGAACTAAGCACCCAAAAATTGATCCTGTGGGAACCAACTCACGGAACGCGGTCCAGAGGAAGACCTCAATCGAATTATGTAGACACCCTCAAGCGCGACACAGGGGCAATCAGCTCACACGAGCTGGCTACGTTGATGGAAGACAGGGTCGTTTGGAGTGCCATTGTCAAATCTCGGAGTCATCCGCCTAACTAACTAACTAACTTTAGTCACCGGAAATTTTCAAATTTGAGCCGAAGGTCAGCGGTTATTCAAACAAAAACAAGATGGCGGATAGGGACATTACTGGAGAATTTCATCGTACTTTCGAAGGCCTTTATGAAAAAACTGCAGGTTTTTAGAGGTGACAACAAGCAGATTTGTATTCAGTAAGTAAAAAACTATAGATTTATGTGATTTCAAAGTAGTTCTGAGATGTGGGCAGCGAAACTGAACGATAATCGACCACAGAATACGGCCTAGATGTACGAATCGTTCGATGCGAGCAAATCAAGAAAACAGAGTCAGACGATGAGGTACATAAAAATCGCTTGCCAAGAGCGGCTAACAATGGCTCGAGAGATCCAACGAATTCTTGTTCCAAATGCAGAGATATCTGTACGCAAATCTTCTCCTCTGGATCATCTAAAAAGGTAAACGCAATTTTGTATTGTCTAATAAAACTTTTATTCATTGAATGAATAAACAGGAGATTTCTTGATGTTTCAAGCTACAATTTAAACAATCTCCAATCTCGTTTTTGCATGTTGAAAACAATATGGCATTAACAAGTCTAGAACAAAACCCTTAATGTATTAGTGATTCTGAACATGGGCTAGTAAACAAACATTCCTCAACATCTGTGAAATAACCAAATATGAAAGTGATACAAAAATATAGTTATGGCATTTTCCAGACCTTTCTAAAGGAATCAGAATCTAACATATTATCCATATCAAATGACAAACTCGCCAAATTGTGACCTCCATGAAGTGCAGGGTACAATAATAAAACTTATATGTATCTCATAGTTGAAACCTCCAAAACTATCAAGTAAAGGAGTTTGTGTCAGAGGTATGACATTTTCTTCAATATTCCAGAAACCTTTTTGCTGATTATATTTCATGTGTGAAGAGAAAATTTCTATTTGACAATTTAAGGTCCGCCCGGAGCACCCGGTCCACAAGGCCCGAAGGGTCCCAGCGGACATAGAGGAAGACAGTCCGGAACATTACCAGTTTTGGTAATATCATTTCCATCACAAAATGGCGGCTGAAGCTTTTTCCGAACCCTTTCCATTTTCGCCCCTAATACTCAAATAAAGCTCCAATCCCATGAACCTTTGCCCGCCAAGACTTTCTAGTATAACAAACGAAGCCATAGCTGTGAAGTATACGTATACGTTTTCAAAATATTCGAGTTTTTATGCTGCTTCTTTGCGATTTTTCGACTAGTTTCACATACTAAAGCGATTTTTAAAGTATCTTTGCCCCCGTAGTTGGCAATTTGGCCCACCTAGAGGCAATTTAGAGTGGTTTTACTGTCTATTACAGTTGGTTTCGTGTTGAGGCATAACGGAACGTTTTGAGGCATCCTCTTTAAAGTTGTGAAAAGCTATATATTAATCGAAAGGAGCGATGAAGGAGCATCGGAGATTCCTCGATAAAAGATGTTGTATCTGTAGTGTTTCCTTGATAGAAAGTCACAATGATCACAAGTCAAGAAAGAAAAGAAGAAAATACGGCAAGACTTAAGAGCGACTGTCCAGAAAAATCGAGCAAAATCGAAAGTATCCGGCCACAATGAAAAATTCAAATTCCTTGAAACTCAGATCCTGGACACCTTTCTGTGAGCCTACTAACGTGGTCGAATCGGTTTTTTGACCTACGTTGAAAAATTGGAGTTTTTGAGCAAAATTGGTTTTACCCCGATTTGGTCTAAAATTAGCATATGAGACCGTTGAAACTTGCAACTTTTTGAAAGTTATTTCTTCAATCAATTTAAATATTTTTGCGCAATTTTTTTACAGAATCCGAAAGAATACATCCTAAGGAGTTGCCCGGAATCGGTTTTGGCTTTTCAATGTATTTTTAACGGGGAGGAAAAATGACTTTTTCTTGGCCGGTTTTCAAAGCTTGATTTGAGTTGAAATTTCCGAACACATTTTTCTCCATGTGGCCATTCTCCAATTTTTACGAAACTCACCCTGAATGAGGTTGAAATATCAATATAAACCGAGGTAGAAAAATATTTCTGGGTTTTTACACTGGTAGTGCGATAGCAGCGATCAAATATCACGATTTTTTGACTTGCAATATGCAAATTAGCAGTTTGTTTACATTTACTCAGATAGATCATTCGAATGAAATTTTTTCTCAAACATCGAAACCAACCAAATATATCATTTGATCGAATTAAATGAAGTAATTAGACACTTTCAAACAATAAAGGCGATTGTATCTTGACCTTTAGCCCCATATTTCCT